CCCTCCATCCACTCAGCCGCCTCGAGGGACAACCTGCTCCTTGTGCTGGGGTCCTGCCGTGACCAACCGAAACGCAGCTCCTGCTTACGCTGAGCCACCAACGTAGCAGGGAGACAGCGGTAGACCCTCTCATAACCATGTACGTGGTAGATGATGCTCGCGGCCCGGAGAGGGTGGCCTGATGCCAGAGTGGGCCAGGCACTGTGGCATACAGTGACAGGCAAGACCAGACCAGACCCCCACCCCAGGGAGCTCTTATTCCAACTGTTACAACAGGTAGCGCTGGTCCTTGGCAAGCCCTGCCGTCTCGACCTTCGTAGCAGGCCTGGAACATGCCCACTTTCCCCCTCTACCACCCTCACGGGGCACTGTCACCCTCATCTCCCACCGGGCCTTCGCATCTCCTCCTCCCTGGTCCCTCTGCTCCTGTTCCACCCCCAGTCTGTGCCCCGCCTGCATCCAGAGGGGGCCTGTGAACTGCTTCCGGCCCCATCCTTCTCCGGCTCATAACCTTCCTGTCGCGCCATGTCACTCAGGTAAAAGCCAGCATCCTCCCGTGGCCCCCAGGTCTCTACGCCACCTGCCTGGCCTCCTCTCTGCCTTTTGACGTCATCAGGCACGTTCGCGCCCAGGACGGTTTTCCTGGCTGTTCCCGCTGCCCGACACTCTTCCTTCAGATGCCCGATGGCCCTCCCTCTCCTCACCCCTCAGGGCCCTGCTCGAGTGTCACCTTCTCAGCAAGGCCCTCCCTGACCACTTCGCTGAATATTCTGACCTCCCCTAATCCTCCTGATCCCCGATTATATTTCTTCTCAGCACTTATTGTCTGACTTAACTAGGTATTTTTCTGATTCGTCTCATTTATTGACCGTCCTTCCCTCTCGAATGTGAGCTCTACAGGGGCAGGGATGTTTCTGGCCACTGCTCACAGCCCCGCCCTGGGCCTTGCAAAGATCAGCCTTCAGTCGACAGTGGCGTTTGGATGGTGGGTGGGTGCGTGAGTGTCATGGGGTCATTTGTGGGTAGGTAGGTGTTTGCCAAGGAGGGGGCTCGGGTATGTGTCAGTTCCAAAGCTTATAGCAGGGTCTGGTGAGGATTCTTTGGGGGAACTGGGCTCAAGGCAGGAGGCCTAAATAGAGATTTGGATGGGGGAGGGATGCAGGTGGGCAGTGAGAGCCAAGCAAAGGCGTGGGGGTGGGAATGATGTGTGTATTACAGGGGGCAGTGAGGGGGCTGCCGGGGACTCCCTGCCCATCGGCAGAGCACAGCCTAGGGACGTGGGGGTGAACTGTGGCAGGGAGAGGGCTTCCGGAGCTGGTGATAAAGAGCATGACTCAGGGGTGGAAGCCCCGAGTGCAGGCTGGGGACAGCGCACGCTTCATGGTTCCCTGTCTGGTTTAGGGTTTCATTTTGGTGAATGTGAGAGGATGGCCGTGACCCCAGCCGCATCCCCTGCTTTGCCCCTGGGGCCCTGGGTTCCGGGCGGGTCCGCTCCCTCCACTGCCCGCAGACCAGCTGTACTCAGAGCCTTCGGGGGTGGGGCGGGGGGTACGAGGTTTACGTACACACACCCAGACAGCTCTGTCACAGTGGCTCTTGCGCTTCCTCCCGGGCTGATTTCCTTGGTGTGTTGCCGGGTGGAGGGGGGTACCATTTTGTTCTCATGAAAGGTCATAGGGTAGAACGAGTCAGTGCAGGGTAACTGGAAAATCTGAAGCTTTTGCTAAGACAGGTCGGAAACTGCCTGTCCAACACACTTAATAAGTCAAAAGGGTTTTTTTTTTTTTTTTAATTGAAACAAACATTTTGGAGTAGGATGCAAAATGGGCCTGCATTCTCAGGATCAAACACTGGACTTCAGCGGCGTCTGTGTCCTGGCTGGTGGCTGTGGGCTGCACACTGCCCTCCCCCATTCTGCCTCTGGGGTCACTGGTTCACCCTCTACCTCCGGGTCCCAGGGCTCTCTGCTAGTTTCCCAGGACTGCATGAGCGGAGTCTGAGGCATGTGAGCAAGGGAGCAGTGTGGCGGGTACAGATTAATTTATTTGTTCACCAAATGTCCTTAAGTGCCCGCTGGGCCCGACTATGTTACAAGCATCGGGGTTCAATGGGGAGCAAGGCCCTGGGGTGGGCACATTTCTAGGGTTTGAAGAATAACAGGCCCATGCGGCTAGGGCAGAGTGAACAAGGGCGTGTGGGAGGAGATGAGGGCAGAGAGGTGACAGCGTTGTCGGCCATGGGGAGGGGTCTTGGGGACCAGCGAAAGGTTAAGCATGGACTCGAGCAGATGGGACTGTCTTCCAGGCCCAGCCCTGCTCGGTGACCCTAGCGAGGGACTTCACCTTCGTGAGCCTGTTTCCACATCTGCAAAGTGGGGATGAGCACAGTGGCAGGGGCCGGCTTTCGGACATCTTTTCCAGTGCAGACCGCGGTGCCAAAGGCCTGTGGAAACGGCGCGTGAGGAACCACGGGGTAGCGGCGGCAGGAGCCCCTTTGTGCTGTCTCCCTCTACCCTTGGGGGCCTGGGACAGGTCGGATAGGAGGTGAGGGTCCTCCCTCCCAGAAGGGTTCAGGGCAGAAGAGGAAGGGCAGGGTCTGGGCAGTGGACAGGGCCAGGACCAGCCTTAGAGATGATGATTATGACGATGATGATGATGATGACGATGACGATAACAATGGCAAAAGCTGTGGCATCGCTGCAGCCATCAGGAGCAAGACAGGCAGCTAACACCCCGGGTTCACATCCTGGGTGCCCAACACCCCGGGTTCACATTCTGGGTGCCCTGGACAAGGGGCTCCCCTCTCTGGGCCTCAGGGTCCCCATCTGTGAATTAGGGATGATGAGTGTACCTGTCTCACAGGATATTGTGAGGATGGAATGGGATTAGGCACAGAGAGCACCGAGCAGGACTCCAAAGAGGCAGCTGCTGTGAATTCTGAGAATTGGTGGGGCCCGGACTCCAGGTTTGACAGGCATAGAGTCTCATGTCCACATGGCTACCAAGCTGTGTGACCTGGGCAAGTGGAGTCCCCTCTCTGTGCCTTGGTTTTTTTGTATGTAACACGGGGCTCATGATGGCCTCTTCCTCCTGTGTCATGTGTGCAGATTAAATGGGGCACTCTGGGTTGACTGCTTAGGAGAGGGGCTGGCACCCAGTAGGTGCTCAGTAGGTATTGGCTGCTACTCTGAGAGTGACACACTCCCTGAGTGCCATTGCCTAGGGGCCGGCCATCAGTGCCTGTGCTGTCTGTGACTCATAAGAACTCTGGGGAGCTGGTACTATCGTAGCCCCCTTTTAAAAGAGGAGGAAACTGAGGCACAGAGCAGCTGAGCTGCTGGCCCAGGGCCGCACGGCGAGGTCCCAGCATGGGCTGGCTGGTCCCTCCTTGCAGGCACAGAAAGTGAGGTGGCGCCGTGCACAGGGGCAGAGCCAGGGTCCGGCCCCACGCTGTCCGACTCCTCAGTTCCAAGCTTGCCTGGGAACCCCAGCACTGGCTCCTCCCTAACTCCCACCTCTAATTCTTGGCAGAGGCCCCCACTTTTAAGTAGCAGCTCCTCACCCTCCCCTCTGAGGCCCCCACAGGGTCAGGAGCTGAGGACTTGGCGGAGGGGGGCGTTGGGGTGGGGGCCAGGCATGCTTGGAACTGCCTGAGGGTGGGGCTCCCGCCTGGTCATTATAAACATGGTCAGTTCCTCTGTTTGTCCTGCCCTCCATGTGGTGCCCAGGGGGAAGGGGTGGCCCCCGGCAAATATCCGGAGGCGTGCCTCTCCACCCCCTTCCCCTGTAGGGTCACCCTTGGCTGGGGGTGGGGCTCGCTGCAGTGTGCCAGCGTGGTTTATGGATCGGCACTCTGGGTGGGCTGCCCCGTCTTCCGGGCTGCCTCCTGCTCACCCCATCCGGATCCTGGCTTTAGCGAGGGGTCCAGTAGCTAATCCCATCCTGCAGAGGCCTCGGCCTGGGCAGTGGTGGATGGGCAGAGAAAAAGAGAGGCCAAGGTGAGGAGTGAGGCCTGCCTGGGGCAAAGCGGGGCAGTGAGGGAAGACAGCGAGGATGTGATAGGGCACGGGGCGAGGATCTGGGGGACAGAGCAAGGGAGAGTGTAGGGACAAAGCAAGGAGCAGGAACTAGAAAGGCAGAGCTGAGGGCCGAGGAGCTGAAAGGGAGGTGTGTGGGGGGACCAGCGGGTCAGGGCCAGCAGTGGAAGTCTGGGAGGGAGGGCTGGGCGGGGTTCAAGGGGCTGGAGTGGGCGAGAGACGCGAAGGGGCTCCTGGCTCAGCCGGGGTTGTAGAAGGGGCTGAGGCAGAGGAGAAGGGACCTCCTTCCTGGCCAGGGCTGTCCCATACACATCTAGGCAGCTGGGGACCCTGGAGCCTGCAGAGAGAGCGCCCACTGGGGGAGCCCTGGCCAGACCCTGCTCTGGCCAGACCCTGCTCTGGCCACCTGCTGGCCAGGAGGCCTGTACCAGTTGAGACAAGTTGGCTGCTGGGTCCCCACCCGCCTCCCACTGTGCTCCCACTGCCAAACCGGTTCCCCCGCATGGCTGCTCACTGATGGTCCTTCCTCTGGGCAGGGGCGGCAGCCTCTCCGGCCTCATTTCACAGAGCTGCTCCCACAGGAAAGGGCAGCTCTCCCGCGGGAGGAGAGCCGGGCGGTTGGAGGGGCTGCGTCCCAGATGTGCTTGTGAGCATCATCATAGCTCATGAAACTTACGGAGCTCGGGGCCAGCCCTGTGCTGGGCACTGTGCCAGACGCTGGGAAGCCAACCGTGACCCAGACAAAAACCCCACCCAGGGTGTTTCCACTCTGCCATCCCTCCGGGTCGGGTCTGGTGCTCCCTGACCCCAGTCCCAACCACTCTGGGCTGTCAGACGCTGACTCCGTTACTGCTGTGTCCCTAATACCAACCAGCGCAGGGCTGGGCACAAGGGAGTCGGTTATTACTGAATGAGGGAATGAATGAATGAGTAGGTGAATGACCTTTTTTCCCCCATTTTACAGATGAGTAACCCGACGCTCCAAGAAGAGACGTCACCTGCCCGAGGGCACTTCTAGCCCAGCCAGTGCCAAACCAGGTGTGTGGACTCCAGGGCCCATGTGTGGGACAAGGGAGCAGGAGCTGGGTCCCCTCCTCCCTCAGTCACTGCCGGGAGTAACCCTAAGCATGAGAATAGCGAGCTCGGACTGGGCCTCCCGCCGTGCCCAGTCCTGTACCGCTTCTGCTTGGATTAGTTCATTTAATCCTCACAGCAGCCCGATGGGGGTTGATCCAGAGCACAGAGAGGTTAAGTCACTGGTCCAAGGTCAGACAGAGTAAGTGGCAGAGAGAGATTTGCACGCTGGTCGTCTGGCTCCCCTTCCCGTGGTGTCTTGGGTCTCCCTGCGGGACACACCATCAGCACATCTCCCCTTCGGCCCCTTTGGTTTCTAAGCCAGTTTTCATCGAGCATCTGCACTGGGCCTGAGTACTGTTCTGAGTACCTGCCCGGAGACCCCAGACCCTAAAGACGGGCTGTTTTGTCTGCCAGTGTCTGTTGTAAAGTGGGCCTTTCCCTGCTGTGTGGTCTTGCTAACGGACATCCCCCCGTGAGCCTCAGGCCCCTGCCCTGTAAGGTGAAGTGTCACAGTCAGGCTGCCTTGGCGTCATGCGTAGGACAGGCTCAGTAACTATTTCTTGAACAAGTAACCAGAGGGTGTGGTGTTCCTGCCCCAGCGTCCAGGCTGGCGAAGCTGGATGGTTGTGGCCAGGCCGTTAGGAACCCCGTCACTCCGTGCCCAGTGCTGTGCTGGGCATCGGGTGGGACGTGGGGAGACTGGGCAGATGAGACTTGGCCTGTGGCGTTGATATGCTAGTGATAAGGGCTGCAGATGCTAAACTAGTAAACATAAGAATGAACAGCAGAATTCCCAGAAGCTAAATGTGCTGGGAAATGATATAAGGGAAGGATAGTGGGGTGTGGGGGCTGTTTTACCTGGGGTGGTCAGGAAGAGACTCATCAAGGACCCTGAGACCTGAAGGAGGGGCGGGAGGGAGCCATGCCTGGATACGGGGGAGGAGCGGTCCACGACGGGAACAGCCAGTGCAAAGGCCCTGGGGTCAGTGTGAACGAGGGGGAGATGAGAGCAGAGAGGTGACGGGGGCAGGTCGTGCGGGGTGCGCCATGGGGAGGACTTGGCTTTTCCCAGGTGAGATAGAGCCTCAAGACAGCTCTCAGCAGGGGAGGGACGTGACCTGACTCGGGCAGTCGTGGTGTCCCTTGTATTACATACAGGGACAGACTGTGGAGGGGGTGGGGAGACCAGGAAGGGGATGACGATATGCAGGACCAAGGCCCAGCCGGAGGAGCGAAGAGAAACGGGCAGGTTCTGGTGAAGGCCTCCTCCTGCAGGCCTGCCACAGGAGCCCAAGTCTGCGCCCTGCGCCGAGAGCCACGACACCATGTTTGGGAAGAAGAAGAAGCGGGTAGAGATCTCGGCACCGTCCAACTTCGAACACCGCGTGCACACGGGCTTCGACCAGCATGAGCAGAAGTTCACGGGGCTGCCCCGCCAGTGGCAGAGCCTGATCGAGGAGTCAGCTCGCCGGCCCAAACCCCTCGTTGACCCCGCCTACATCACCTCCATCCAGCCCGGGGCCCCCAAGGTATGCCGGCACCCACCGCCACCTCCTGACCTCCGGCCCTGAGAACCCCACAGTTACCTTGATCCCTCCGACAGTCCCCCAGCTCCAGCCTCTAAATCGTGCTCTCCTGGAGCCTCCTGCCCTGAGCTCTGTGCTCCTGTCCCCAGTGCGGGAATAGACCTACCCCCAAGTGGTCAGGGCTGGGCTGGGGAAGCCCAGAGGAGGTGCCTGACCCAGGCCGGGGTCCAGGCCCGCTTCTTGGAGGAACACTGCGGGCCGAGGAGGAGGAGGAGTCCCGAGGTAGATGCTGGGGCAGCGAGGCTTTCAGTGGAGGCAGCTGCCCACGCAGAGCACTGGAGGTTTGCATTTGGCATTGTTTTTTCTGCCATCCCGAGCGAAGGGGTGGAGCTGGGCTTTGGACCCGGGTCTGTTCCAGGGCCCGCGCTCCTAAGCCCGTCCCCGTGTCGCGGTCCAGGTGCCCGGGTGCGGTTTGCAGTGCGGTCACCCCTGGTGGGCTGGTGCCACGCCTGGCCAGTGAAGCCAGCCTGGGAGCGCGGACTTTATCCCGAGGGCAGTGGGAACAGGAAGGGCCGCCAGCCAGGGGAACGCAGCCAGGGGTGTTGCGAGGGGTGGAGGTGGGTGTGCCGGTCAGCAGGCTCGGCGCCCAGGGCCAGGCCTGCGGCTGACTCATCCTCTCCCAGTGCCCAGCCCTGCCTGGGGGGAGGGGGCAGCGAGGTGGCCACAGACACAGCGCAGACCTCTCCCGGCCCACTGCGGTGTTTGTGTGTTCCATGCAGAGTGCTTCTGAATATTTCAAAATTTTTGCCACTGCCTAAAAAAGTGAAAGACCTCGCATCCAAATATCTATTTCTGGCTTGACTAGTTGGCTGGAGCTGGGTGGCAGCTGTCTCCACAGGCAGGACACCGGCTCCTCCAAGCCACAGGCCCCACCCAGGCCACCTCAGTTTCATCCCCTGCCTGGCCATGTGGCTGCTCGTGTGCTGGTCATACCCTCATTGGGACGCCTCCTAAAACCCAGCCCCTGCTCTGCCTGCCAGCCATGGGCCCTGCTTGAGGCCGTGTTCACCAGGTGGAAGGGGCAGCTTGTCTTGATTCACACAAAGGTGCCATACAGGCGAGCACTGTCCTGGGGCCCCGTGGGCACTTGTGTTTGCTGCCCAGTCTTCCCGGGTCCTCCCCCAACCCCCAGGGACTTCTGACAACAGAGTCTGACCAGGTGCTTCACCGGACCCCTGGGCAAGGCCAGGCTTCCAGGCTGGCAGCCAAGGCCCAGGAGAGGCGGGGCAAGCCCCACAGGGCACTGTGGCCAGTACGTTTTGTGGGGTCAGTGTTTTCTGCCCAGTAGCGGCAGTTATGGCTTCAGGGTACCTGGCAGCCTCGGGCCCATGACCCTGGGTGCCAGCGATTGGCGGTCCAGCGGCGGGGGTCACATTCTCTGCTTCCCAGATCCTCCACCCAGCCCCCTCACTCACTCAGTGGTTCATCGAATGTTTATCGAGCACCTTCTGCATACCAGACACTGTTCTAGGCGCTGAGATTTAGCGAGAGCAGAAACAGACAGGAAGACCCAGTCGCTGCCCTCACGCACGTTGCATTGTGGGAGCAGGCGACGGACAGCTGCACGTTTGCTTTACGTCCACTAGTTTTAGGTGCTCAAAAGAAAAAGAAAGTGGGGAAGGGGAATTGGGAGTGTTAGGGGCTGGCATTTTAGACAGCTGGTCAGCGGGAGCCTCCTTCTGAGAAGCCGTGTCCAACAAAAACCTGAAGGAGACGAGGGGGCGAGCCCGGCATTCTTGGGGGAAGATGTTCCAGGCGGAGCGAAGAGCCAGTGCAGAGGTCTGGAGGTGGGAGCTGCCTGTGTGTTTGAGGAGCAGCAAGGAGGCCTGTGGGCCTGGAGCTAATGGGGGGCAGGGGAATCCTGGAGGCTGTGACTTAGTACTCAAGGGAAGAGGTACCCATGACCTGGAACAAGGTGGTGGTGTGGAGGGTGAGCTGGGTGGATTCAGGATGTACTTTGCATTCTGCGCGGCCCCCTGGGCATTCTCATTGCCACCCATTCCTGGGTCACTCTTGCCCCTATGTTGGGCCCAGTCCTTTCTGCCTGTCCTTGTATCCCACCCTCAGCCTCTAGGAGAAGAGAGCACAGTTTCAGGGTTAACAGCCCAACAGCCTGCAGGGGAGGAAGCACCGAGCTGTGCCCTGGCCCCAGTATCCTGTAATTAGCAGCTCTCCAGGGCCCATCATGGAGTGGTGTGGCCTCTGCCCTCCTCCCCTCCACCCCACAAGGCCGGAACCTCCCCCAGCCAGAGAGCAGGAGGGTGCTTCTTGGGGGGCTGGGGGTGGCGGAGGCAACAGCCTGACGAGGGGAGGTCACTCCGGCCGCTGGCATCTAGGTGCCGGGGAGGGGCTGCGGGGCCTCCCGGTGCTGGCCCCACCTGCCAGCCCCATCATCGCCCATGGCATTTCTTCATTCGTCTCTGTCTTGTCTCTGTGTGTTGTGTTGTCCTGTCTGTGTGTGTCGGATACATGTCCTGTGTCCCCTCCTCCTTGTCCGCCCCCCACCCTGCCATCGCCCCGGACCCCAGACCATCGTGCGGGGCAGCAAAGGCGCCAAGGATGGGGCCCTCACACTGCTGCTGGATGAGCTCGAGCACATGTCGGTGACACGCTCCAACTCCCTGCGGAGAGGCAGCCCGCCGCCACCTGCCCGTGCCCGCCAGGAAAATGGGATGCCCGGGGAGCAGGCCGCCATGGCCAGAGGGGGCCCAGAAAAGGCGGGCAGCCAAGGCCGGGTCACCGGTCGCAGTGAGGCAGGTGGCAGCAGTGGTGACCGGCAGCGGGTAGGGCCGGAGAAGAGACCCAAGTCTTCCAGGGAGGGCTCAGCGGGGCCCCAGGAGTCCTCCCGGGACAAGCGCCCCCTCTCCGGGCCTGACGTCAGCACCCCCCAGCCTGCTGGTCTGGCCAGTGGGGCGAAAGTGGCAGCCGGCCGGCCCTTTAACACGTACCCGCGGGCTGATACGGATCACCCGTCTCGGGGCACCCAGGTAACCGCTCCCCCTGCCCCAGGGCCCCACCGTTCCCCTTGCCCAGAGCTTTCCCCAGCCCCACCCACCAATGTCAACCTGTGCCCAGCCCACTGTCCATCTCCATCCTGACCACCATGTGTCTGTGCCACCGCCGGGGCCCTCCTGCTCAGGAGAGTAGAGCTGGCCCCCGGCCCCTCCACTGACAGCTTCCTTTCTTTTCTGTTTCAGGGAGAGCCGCACAACATGGCCCCCAATGGGCCATCAGTGGGGGGCCTGGCTGTCTCCCAGTCCTCCTCCTCCCGGCCTCCTACCCGAGCCCGCGGCACCCCCAGCCCTGGAGTGCTGGGCCCCCACGCTTCCGAGCCCCAGCTGGCCCCTCCGACCCGTACCGTCGCCGCCCCCGCCGGCCCCCCTGCCCCTGGGCCCCCTGGCCCCCGGTCGCCACAGCGGGAACCCCAGCGCGTGTCCCACGAGCAGTTCCGGGCTGCCCTGCAGCTGGTGGTGGATCCTGGTGACCCCCGCTCCTACCTGGACAACTTCATCAAGATCGGCGAGGGCTCCACAGGTGTCGTGTGTATTGCCACAGTAAGAAGCTCCGGCCGGCTGGTGGCCGTGAAGAAGATGGACCTGCGCAAGCAGCAGAGGCGAGAGCTGCTGTTCAATGAGGTGGGCCTCCCGCCTCGCGGCCCGCCCTCCCCTTCCTCCTGGTGCTCCCCGCCTGACTGCCGAGGCTTTGTGGGGGTGGGGGCTGGAGGACGGGCTCCAGGGCTAGGCTTCCCAGCCCTGAAGCTCGTTCTCTCCTCACTCCTCACCCCTCCCCAGGCCATCTCCTCTGTCCCCACACACCCACAGCCATGTCTCTGTCCTACTCCTGGCCTGTCCCCGAGTCCCAGCTCCAGGCCCCCTGGGCCCACTAAACCCCGCCCTCTGAATGTCTTCCAGGCTCCTCACACCCACTAAGTCCCAAACTGACCCCAAAGTGTCGCCCCTAAATCCCCCTTCCTCCGGTTCCCTGTCTCAGAGTCCCCACTAACCCTGTCCCCAAGCCAGAGCCCCGGGCCAGCGCTGTTCTCTCCCACCAGGCCCCGCCCTGGCCTCCTCCTCGGTGCCCCCTAGGTATTCCCCACACAGCAGCCTGTCACACGGCACGCCCCCACCCTGTTTCCTGACCCTTGCAGCATCCCCGGTGCCCGAAGGATAAAGGCCTGGTCCGTTTGCGAAGTGTTTGAGATCTGCCCCCACCTAGGTTCTTGGTTCTGTCCAGCTTCAGACTTTGGCTCTTGGTGGCCTTTTTGCTAGGGAGCTTGTTACAAAGGCCGACGCTTGGCTCCTTCCCGAGAGGCTGTGTATGGGAGCAGCCCCCCGACTCTGATGCAGGAGGCACTCAGCACTTAACTACACCCCATAACCTGTCCGTCGGCCCCCCAACATTACATGCTCCAGCTGCACCACGAGTTTCTGCTTAACATGGCCCTGTAAGCAGTGCGTCGCCCGCCTCCCCCAGGCTGCGCCTGCCTAGGCCTTCTGGCCCCAGGTCCCCGCCCACCCACCCCTTTGCCACCTTTTATTCTAACCTTGGCTGATATCTACTTCTCTTGATCTCAACCTTGTGCTTAGGTGCTCTTCCCACCTTCCTCCCCCAGCGCCAGGCTGGTTATCAGGGCCACTCAGAGACCAGCTCAGGACTGGTCACAGATGGGGATCAGAAACGTGGTGTGTACGTGGGGTAGAGAGCATCCCCAGAACAGAGGCTTCAGGCCTCAAGCTGCCTTCGAGGTCTGTTGTTGGCTTTGGCAGTGGATGACTCCAGTAAACAAGAGTGACAGGTGGAGCTGGGCCTGCGGTGTGGGAGCACCCAAGCCTGGGCCTGCGCGTGAGGCAGGAGCAGCCGGCGGCGGCTAGGTCCGAAATGGGCCGGTGGCCCTCCCCGTACTGCGCGTGACGCGGCCTCCCGCCCCAGGTGGTGATCATGCGGGACTATCAGCACGAGAACGTGGTGGAGATGTACAACAGCTACCTGGTGGGCGACGAGCTCTGGGTGGTGATGGAGTTCCTGGAGGGGGGCGCCCTCACCGACATCGTCACCCACACCAGGTAGCTGCCGGGCGCCCAGCCTGCTGTCTTCCCAGGTTCCCCGGGGTGGAGCTGGGTCCCCTCAGACCTCTCCCATGATAGGACTAAGTCCCCTCCATTCTCTTTGGGGTGGGGCCATGTCTCAGAGCCAGCAGGGTCGTGTCCCCCACAGACGCCTAGGGTGGGGCTTTGGCCCCCTCAGACTCCGAGGGAGGGGCTGTTTCCCCTCAATCCCTGGGGCAGGGCCCTGCCGGTCCCAGTTGCTAACCCCTCGCCTTGCAGGATGAACGAGGAGCAGATCGCCACCGTGTGCCTGGCCGTGCTGCAGGCCTTGTCTGTGCTCCACGCCCAGGGTGTCATCCATCGGGACATCAAGAGCGATTCCATCCTGCTGACCCATGACGGCAGGGTGAGGATGGGTCAGCTCCCCCCGCCCCTCCGCAGCTCCCGTTCTGCTGTCCGGCAGGCTCCGACCCCCAATTCAGGGGATCAAGGCCAGTCAGCGTATCTGTTTTTCGTGCAGCAGTCCAGAGTCAGGGGTCTGGGTCAGTGAGGGGCTCTGTTCACACAGGCATTGGGGGCCCAGGCTGCTGGGGGCTCTGCCATCAGTGTAGGGTGCTGGGAACCGTAGTCTCACCCCGCACCCAGAGACAGGGGAATGCATTCGGTGGCCGGCACGGCTCAGCCACATGCTGCTCCCTCCACGGAGAATTGTTCCCAGCAGAGCACCCGTGGCGGTCCGTGGACCCCAGTCCTGTCTCTTGTCTTCTGGACTGAAGCTCTGAATTTGAGGTCCGTGAATGAGGCTCACGATGCCCAGGGTGTGGGCTTTGGGATCCAGCTCCGGTCTCATCCCCGCCCAGCCTTGGCACCTGCAGGACTCGGCCACTTCCCCGCAGCAGACCCTGTTAGGAAGACAGATGGTGTTCTCTTGGGGCAGTGACAGGTCTGAGGGGCCCCTGCCAGGAGGTGGCGGAGCTCCCCATGGTCCAGCTCTAACCTCTGAGTGGCCTGGAGGAGACCCAGCACATCCGAGGCCAAGGAGTTAAACGGGGATGCCTCTGCTCACCCTCCCCACGCCAGCACCTCTGACCCTGCTGCCTGCATCCTGCCCCAGGTGAAGCTGTCCGACTTCGGGTTCTGCGCCCAGGTCAGCAAGGAGGTGCCACGGAGGAAGTCACTGGTCGGCACACCCTACTGGATGGCCCCAGAGCTCATCTCCCGCCTTCCCTACGGGCCAGAGGTGAGCCAGAGGCGGCCGGTGGTCTCACTTCACTGTCAGCACTGGTTTAGGCTGTGACTGTCTGGGGTGAGATGGGGCTCAGTCTGGGGAATGGGTCACCAGGATCGATTTTGGGGGAGAAAAGGTAGGCGTGCATACATGCGTGCGTTCATTCGTTTGCTCCTAATTGGGTGCTGGTTCTCAGCCAGTCCCAGTGCTTGGCAGTGAGGACGGAATGTCGGGTGGAGGCGTCACAGCCCTGCCTGACAGCCCGGTGCAGGGGTCACAGACTGGCCAGCTCCTGGCTGGTGTCGTCTGAAGATGCTTTTGCAAGCATTTAAAAAAGAGAAGTCTCGCATAAAAACCCAAATTGTCATTCTCTGTAAGAAAACCAAGAGGTTTGGCCACATAGAGGCACTGAAGGGCCGCTCTGCTTTAGGAAAGGCAGGTGCCTTCGGCTTGGCTATAGTCCCCACCCATCTCTATTGCCTGCCCTTCCCTGTGCCACTCACTGCCACCAGCTGCGTGGCCCTGAGGCCTTTGAGCTGGTCCCTGTAGCCGCGAGGTTTCCTCGATAGCTAGCAAGACTTGGCCCAGTGCCATGCCATGAGACAGGCGCCCTGGGAAACATCACGGGGTCACCGTGGGAGGGAGACTGGTGTGAGATTCTGAGGGAACATCTCAGTCAGGACTGCCTGTGAGTGACAAACCCAGATGAAACGGATTTAGCAGAACATGGAAGCTGTGGGCCCCCAAAACTGTGAAGTTAACGAAGTGACAGGCTTCAGGCTCGGCTGTCTACGTGCTCCGTTCCTCTGGGCCCTGATTTTCCCCTGGTAACAGCAGAGATGACCCTGGCAACTCTGGGACTCATCTCCCTGCCTCTGGGCACTGCCGTTTTCCAGGATATTTGGGTTACAGTCTCAGGTTGACTCTGATTGGTCCAGGTTGAGTCACATGCCTGTTCCCGACCCAATTACTGTCTGGATGATGCTGGATTGGCAGCCCGGTCAAGGACTCCCCCACCCCTGAGGCTGAGGGGAAGGGGTTCCTGCGAGGAGACTGGGGTGGTTAGGAAAAAGGAGGGTGGAGGCCGGGTGGGCAGAACCCATCAGAGGCCTCCCTGTGTGAAGGGTACGTGGGGTCAGAGAGGGTGTTCTGGGCCCAGGGACTCGGGGAGCGAAGCAGCAAAGGTAGAACTGGGGACCATCCCTCCCCAGGCTTCCCCCATCCCGCACAGCTCTGCCCTGCATATCTTCCTCTCCTGCAGGTGGACATCTGGTCTCTGGGGGTGATGGTGATTGAGATGGTGGATGGGGAGCCCCCCTACTTCAATGAGCCACCTCTCAAAGCCATGAAGATGATTCGGGACAATCTGCCACCCCGACTGAAGAACCTGCACAAGGTGGGCACCTCCCAGCAGGCAAGTGGTGTGAGGCTGGATGCCACCTGGCCTCTCACCCCAGCTCCTGTCCCCCAGCCTGCGAGTGGGTGTCTGAGCCCTGGCCTCACATGGAGCGGACAGAACTGGGGCATTGCCAGCTCCTGGGGTGGCATTTCCTGGGTGCCAGGCCCACCCCCGTTCCCCTTAGGCCTTGAGCGTTCGTTTCAGTGTGGGTCCCCTGTGCCCTTGGCATTCCACAGAGGTGGTGCTAGGCTGGCCTGGCCGAAGGCACACAACGTAGCGAGGCCCAGAAGAGGGGCCTTCCTCGTGGTGAGAAAGGGGTGCCTCCAGGGCCCAGCTGCTGCCAGCCCCTCACCAAACCTCAAAAGTAGGGAGGACATGAGCCCCTGGGCCCAAGCCCTAGACAGCTGGTGCCTCTCTGCTCCCACCCTGGGCGGTAGGTACCAGCCGTGTGACAGGAAAGGAGGAGCCTGGGGCCCCACCACTGCAAGCGAGCAGAGGATCTGGCACTCAAGAGCCAAGCCAGAACACCCCCCATACCCTCCCCCGCAGGTGTCACCGTCCCTGAAGGGCTTCCTGGACCGCCTGCTGGTGCGGGACCCGGCACAGCGGGCCACGGCGGCCGAGCTGCTAAAGCACCCGTTCCTGGCCAAAGCGGGCCCGCCCGCCAGCATTGTGCCCCTCATGCGCCAGAACCGCACGAGATGAAGCCGGCATCCTGTCCCTGAACCAAAGAGCCCCTTGGGTCACCCCTGCCCTGTCAGAGGCCAGCCGGGGGCCGGCCCCTGCTCCGCCCAGCCTGGGAGACACTCCGTGTGGCAGGGTCGGTGTGCGGGACCTTACTACTGAACTGAAAACACAGGGACTCGTGGAAGCGAGTGAGGCTCCCAGGGCCCCCCGCCCCCGGGACAGGCCCTCCCTGTGTTCCCCTGTCTCCGAGAAGGACAGGCGGCCCTCCCATCACTGGAAGCTGCAGCGGGGGCCGCTGGGGGTGGAGAGAACACTATGAAGAGGGGTGTGTGTGTGAGTGTGTGTGAGTGTGTACATGGTGTGTGCTCACGTCGGAAGGTCCAGCTCCTGTCCTCCAGCCTGCGAGTGGGTGTCTCGGACCTTGCCTGACATACAACCCCCTCTCCCCCTGAGCCATGGCGGGGGTCGATCATGAATGTCTGAAGAGTGGCCTTTCCCTTAGCCCCGCACCCTCTCTGGTTGGACGGGGAGACGGGGGCAGGGCTTCCCTCTCACCCCGGCCTTTGCAGAAAACGACTACTGCACCTGGACAGCCTCTTCTTTTCTAGAAGTCTATTTATATTGTCATTTTATAACACTCTAGCCCCTGCCCCCACCTGGGGACAAATGGTCCCTGTCCTGTGGGGTGACACGGGGGACAGAACCACTGCTTGAAGAATCAGGTTCCTGCCCCCTCAGTGCAGCCCTGCCCTCCCCCGCTTCAAGTTAGTTTTACAATTAAAACATTTTCTCATTTTGTGTGTGGTGTGTGTAGAGGTCCTTCCCTGCCCAGGCCATCCAGGAGTAAGAGGTTTGGGAGAGGGTGCCTGGCAACCCCAGGATTCCAGCACAGCTTGGGGCACGGCCATGTCTGAGTGGGAGAGGAGTCCCAGGTCAAAGCAGCTGGTACCCCGCCTCTCCCCGCCCCGCCGCCGCCCACCCCACCCCCCACACACACACTGAGCAGGCCCGATCAGCCCACTCCCAGGCCTGGAAAGAACCAGTTTGCAAGTCCATGGGTCATGACCAATTTACTGAATCTGTGATTTCTGGAAACTTGTTTTAAAGGTTTTGTCTTGAGCGTGCCGGGTGGGTAGGAACTGATCCCCAGTGAGTTGACGTTAGTAAATTGGTCAACAGGCAGATGGGCTTTTGGGGGCTGGGCTAAGGCGGATGGGCCTGCAGCTGCCAGCTTCAGAGATACTCCATCAGTCAGGTGCATCCTCTAGGCCAAGACTTGAGGGGGCTAAGCCTGGGTACCAATGAAGGGAGAAAGGAGTCCAGCTGACATCGAGGTGACAGTGCAGCTTCTGCATTCTGGGCACTGAGCACTCTGGGCCAGTGCTGGGCTCTGACTGTGCGTGTCCTTCCCAGCACCCTGAGAGGAGTCAGAGGCGGCCGCAGCTTCTGGGGACAGCTGGACTGTGAGGCGTGAGCCCCCTCTCCAGAGTCCTGCAGGCCTCCTCGGCCCGGTTCGTGGGTGAGGACGGAGAAATTCTGGCTCGGTCCACACCTCCTGTTCTCCACTGTCATGTGACCGCCCCACAGCACAGTTCCACAGACCCCAAGCTCACCCCAAAGATTGGGGTGCTGTTTCTGTGGCAGCCTGGTCAAGTCCATGCATGATCTAGGTCGGTAATCGCAGAGAGTTACACATAACCAGCACAAGCGACAATTGCTGTGTGTGAATGTATCTGGGAAAAAAATATGCCAGAATTGGAGTAAGGAGAAAGAGGAAACGACCAAAATTACCCAGACACGTGTATTTAAAAAGAAAAAAACTTTTCTCTTGATTGCTTTTACAAATGAGTTCCACCAAACTTTGAAGGATCAAGTCATTCCTACCTTGTACAAATTGTTCCAGAAAATAGAGAAAGGATAGATACCCTGCCAGACTCATTTCAGGAAGCCAGAATGCTGTGATCCCCAAAACACACAAAGACGCTGAAGAGCAATGTGGCAGCCGCTGCTTGCACAACCCACTGTGTGCACCGATCCCACTGGGCACCTGGAGGTGCCACTGTCCAGGCGGAGCGGCCTGCTCAGACCCCTCGATGCCACTTGCCCCATCACGTGGAGGCAGAGCTATCTGACCCCATAGCAACTCGGCTATTGTTACCTTCAGTTACATCAGTGCAGTTTTAAGGAATAGCTTTGGGAGGCATGGGGAGCTCCTCCCGGAGGCCCCCTGCCTCCTCCTCCTGCTGCTGCCCCTGCAGGAAGGCTGGGAGAGCCACAGAGGGCCAGTAACCCAGCCAGTAGTCACTAAAGACAAGCCATGGATGAGCTGGAGGAACAAGAGGAGTGGGTGGCCCTGAAGCTGAATGGCTCCAGACAGCTTCCCGCCCTCTGCTCCCACTCCGAGTCTCCTCCTGGCGGGACTTTACCAATCCCAGCTGGCGAGGGCGTCCTACAGGTGGTTTTTCAGGCTTGCGGCCTCGGTGAGCCAGGGAACACCCAGAAGGCCAAGTGCAGCGGAGCCACAGACGTCATCTGCCTCAGCTGTGATGTGGCACAGGGGTCTCACTGTCCAGAAGTTACCAACCAGACTTGGTGCCTCACAAGGAGTGAGTGTTAACTCAGCCGCAGCAAAGGCCCTGGAGTGGAGTCAGAGATGCCTGAAGGTCAGATTTAAAGGAAACAGTGGCTCTCAAAGTGTGGTTTCTGGCCTGGCAGCATCCCTGGGAACTTTCTGGAAATGAAATTCTCTGGTCCCACCCCAGGTGAGTCAGACGCTCAGTGGGGCCCAGCAACCTGCATTGTAACAAGCCCTCCAGGGGTTCTGAGGTGCGCTGGAGTTTGGGAGCCACTGAGGTCTGTGATTGGCCAAGGAGTTTGGCACTCAGCCCCGCCCAGGCCGCCGGGTCCCGCCTCCTTCCACGCTAAGAGATGGCCTCCTCCCACGTGGCCCAAGGGCACTGCCACCACCTGAAGGGAAGAGGGCACTCCCCTTTAAGGACAGGACTGTGGTTGCACCGTTGCCTCATTGGCCAGAGCTTAGTCATGTGACCACGCAGAACAATGGAGTTTGAGAATTGTAATGTATTTGGGGAGCTGTGCTCTAGCTATAAATTCTACTACTACACAATCGTGCTCCTTCACTCTGCTGTTAATTACATTTGCTGGGCTTCACCCCAGAGAACCCAGAGGCCGACCCAGTGTATGCAGGAGCTTTATATATGATAAGGATGGACCCTCAAATCAATGGGGAGCGGGAGCGGGGAGAATTGTTTCATAATAAATAGTGTTGGGGAAATGGGTTCATTTTATAGAGAAAAAACTGAATTCCTACCTAATACAACAAAAGGGAACCCTAGATCCGTCCAAGACAGTAAGTAGCCATTAACCACATGTGGCTATTTAATTTTAAAATGAAATAAAATTAAGAATCAGTCCTTCAGTTGCACTAGCCACATTTCACATGCTCCGTTGCCACTTTTGGCCAGCGGCTGTCAATATAGATATGAAACCTTCCGTTATTTTGGTTTTATTGGACGGTTTTTCTCTTGGATTAAACATCACTGTGAAAGGTAAACTATAAAGCTGATAGAGGAAAATATTCAATGACCTAGAAGCAGAGAAGGACTTCTTAAAACTCCAAAGGAAAAAATTATGAAGACAAATACATTTGAGTATATAGAAAATGTGTTCAAGGAAGGACCCTGGCGGATATGACAGGTTTCAGAATGGGAGAAAGTATCTGCAAAGTCTAACACCCATAAGAGATATTTTTAACAAGAAAAAGCAACCCTGGCAAAAATGGGCAAAGGATATAAACAGACAACTCACAGAAGAAAAAGGCCCAAAAGACCAACAAGGGTGTGCACAGTTGCTCAAACTCAGTAATCAAGAAGGGCAAATTCCAACAAGATGCCATTTTAACAGCGTGAACCTTGCAAAAATTAGGAAGTCTGGCTTAGTCAAATGAAGTACACCTGACCCTTGAACAACGCAGGTTTGAACTGTACAGGTCCATTTATACATGGATTTTTGTCAATAAATACTTGTACTGTTTCGATCCGTGGTTGGGAGTCCACGAATACCGAGGGCAGACTGAATGCATAGACGTGTACACCGTTTTATTTAGGGGACCTCAGCATTCGTGCATTTTGGTATCTTCACGGGGTATACGATTCCTCATGGACGCCAAGGGACAACTTAAATTTGGAGGGAGTCAAAAGTTACACAAGGATTTTCAGCTGTGCAGGAACACCTCCAACCGCCACATTGTTCAAGGGTCAACTGTATCGCACATATGTATCTCCCCAATAATTCTGCTCCTGGATGAGCTCCTAAAGAACGAGGTCATGTGGGAACGAGAGCGAGGATGTTCATCGCAGCAGGATTTATGGGGCAGGAGCTGGAGGCAGCCTGGGTGTCCACCCCAGGGGAGTGATACACGGAGGGGGCGCTCCTGTGCAGCCCGCAGGCGCCAGGGACCAGGAGTGCCTGCGGGGAGTGGGAGCCAAACCAGTGACGGAAAGAGTAAAATGAAGAGCTATAATCCCAGGCCAGGTGTATAAACTACAAATTATGGATGTAAAACTGTTCTCATTTTGCAAGACCCGAAAAAGAGACCCATTTACACA